TTTTTTTTTTTTTGTTTTTTTTTTTTTTTTTTTGTTTTTTGACTTTTATTATGAAATAAAATCAGTTTAATTTTGAATCAAAGGGATCTTAAAGTAATTTGAAGTTGAAATTTTTCAGTGTGTCGTGTATACAGAGAGAAAGTAGATGACAGACGTCCAAAGCACATCGTGAATTTTAAATCACTAAGCAGAATATTTTAGTTTAGCTATAGAATTAAAACAAAATGTTATTGAAATAAAAAGTCATACAATTCACATCGAACCTACAACAGGAGCAAACGATCCAAGAAGGTCACAGAGCTTAAAACGGAAAAGTCACGAGGAAAACTTTGTTTTTAATTAAATCTAGAATTATTAATTACAATATTGTCCTTCACTAATTAACAATTTAGTACATGAGTAAATTGTCGTATATTCACAAGAAATTTAAAACTGGTAATTAGTAACAGACATAAATAAATATTTTGATATAAATGGAATATGTATAAACTATTCGGATGCACGTGCCAACATTTTAATCTTCTCCTTAGGAACTACATGTATGTGGCTAGATAATGATATAGACCTTTAAAGTACTGTGGCATGAAATTAACTGATTTACTTGATTTTTGTCAATAGTATAGAGTCATTTTTTAATGAAATTAAAGAAAGAATTTTTTTAAGAAAAAATCTGCTGATAAAGAACAATAGGGCAAAAGTGACACAGGTGAGCGTTGTGATCCATGGGGTCTCTTGTTTTGCTTGTGAAGAATTTCTGTTCGATATATATGCCAACCCCCCCCCCCCCTTTCAAAAGAAATTGCATCCTACGGACCTGGCAGCTATAGGACTTGACTTACTTGACTTATTCCTGTTTTCTCCAGGAGGAGCATAGGGCCGCAACCACACCTCGCTATCGAACTAAGACTGTAGGACATTCAAGCAAAAACTTAAATTCGTCTCCAACATTAATACTGCAATCATTACGAAAATGACATACATGTATTATACAATTCGCTTCTATTTTCTGATATTTTATAATAATAGAATTATTCAAATAAGTACACACAATGTACTTGATACACAATAAACATTTGAATTTTCAAAAATAGGCAATTTTACAATTTTGAAAGTAAAAAAAATTGTCTAACAATCTCATTATACATGTATGCATACTAAACATATTAATAAAGATCTCAATTTTATCTTATGAATGTTATCTTGATTTACCCAAGTCAGCTGCAAACCTCATTTTAAACACCTCTTTGAATAATTCGTCTAAAATATATGTTTTTAGCATCATGAAATTATAAACACATGTTTCGTTAAAAGATGCCTTTTAAAATACATGCAGCTCTTTTTTTATGAATTTTTCACCATTAATTCATTATTCTTATTACAGTAAATTTACATTGATTCATGAATTAAGGATGACATTATTTTTTAAAGGATTTCATCAAAGTTTATAATTCATTTTATATATATCATAAAATAACTGTTATTTACATCTTGCTAATTATAACTTACACAAAGACGTTTTATTCCAGTTTCAGATTTTCATTAAATTAATTGGTCTTGCGCGTGCCAGCTACCTATAAGTCATGTGAGCTTCACCAAGTATTTTTAAAGTAACTATACCGTGATCATATTCATAAACCATATCAGTTCGGTCATATATAGCTTAAAGTGGGGTAGAGTTATTGGCTGAAATCATACACAAGTTATATAACTTGATTCTCATGTCAATTATCAGATAACAAAAATATTATGTCAGTATTCCAGATTTAGTTCATCATATGTGTAAGACTCAATGGTCAATTCCCTCTCCCTTTTAGAGGAGGTGAAAATCTCTCTCTTCATGGCGTTGGAACCAGGGGGTGGGACACGGGGGTGGGGGTGCCCCCCCCCAATAATTTTGCCGATATATGGATTACTGTAGAAAGCATTGCTACATGTACTATATGCTTGTGCCCCCTCAATAAAAAACGTCTGGTGACTTTTTTTCCCCCTTTTTTTAAATTGTTTTTTTTTTTTTTTTTTTTTTTTTTTTTTTTTTTTTTTTTTGCTTGTCAAGGAATTTAGGAATTTGGTAGTGGATAGTGCCCCTCCCCCAACTGAAAATGTATGGCTGTGCCCCCCTCCCCCAACTGAAATTGCTTACTACGGGCCTGCATGCATTCTCTTATCATATTAATTTTGTACCTTAATTGTTATTGTATGCCCATTAAGCCCAAAAAATTGAAATTAGTTACTTAATTTAACTTACTTCATCATGTTTGGGATTTCAAAGAGCGCAAAAATATGCACCTGGTCCGCGATTTTTATATTTTATTTATTTATTTTGGAGGGGGGTGAGCATTATATAATGTTCAATTCTATGTACATGCATGTAGCGCTGAAATTTGAACATTCACACATTTCCATCCCAGGCAGTTCATGTGTTTGTCCCAGTACACAAAATGATGATATGAACTTTCGTCGCCTGTCAGGCGAAAAAAAACGTAGTACCTTATATACACTAAAAATAACCGTAGAAATTTTCCATCAAACTATAACTGGTTAAAACATTCTATGGAGGTGCGTTCCTGTCTTCATTATATTTTGAGTTACACATATCTCTGAACAGATAAACACACACACTATTGGTACATGTACATGTACGCGTATATAGTTTACTCAGTCAAGAAGATTTCTACGGAATTATGATTATTGCCATGCAGTTCTGATTTTTCCCCCTTTTTTCTTGATGAAAAAGTCAGTGTCCCGGTCATCTGTAAAATGTTCATCAATTTTTCTGGGATTTGGTCAATTCTATTAGATTCATCTTAAGGGCTTATTAGGATCTACATGTATACTTGTCTTCTTACTTTTTGATACCCTTTTTCACTATAAAAATACACGTATATTTTATTGTGTAATGGTTAAAAGTGAAAGGGCAAGTAGATCATGACGAGCCCCTGTGGACTCAAGTTTGAGGAAAATGAAAGGCGTAATACATGCATAGAGTCTTATGTGGTCTTAAGTATTTATATCAGGAGATCGCTATAAAAAGGGGGAATGGTTAAGAACTTGAACTTTGTCTATTCTAAATTGATAGCACTGAAGAAATACAAACTTTTATAATTGGAAAATTGCTCTTTTTTCAAACTTTGATAATTATTTATATACAGCTCAATTGAAAAAAAAAAATTACAGTTGCATTTTTAACAAATAAAAAGCCATAGACGCACAGATTTGTTTTGCTTTTTAAAGAGAGAGAGGGAGAGAGAGAGAAAAGGAAGCACTGGTAGCACCAATATCTTCCATTCCATGCTCAAAGTCAGTTCCTTTCCTTTGTCACTAATTATATATGTGGGTCATTTGTTAAGCTCGAGAGGCTTTAATCCCGATCTGTCTCAAAGTCTTGTGTCCCACAATTATTTATTCTTGATTCTATGAAATATTTTTTAACGAACTTAGGTACAGTGTATTTCGGATTTCAACCCTCGTGTGATGACATAGGCTTTTGAAAATTTTCTCATTAACTTTGTGCCTAGTACAAATATATCTTTTGAAAGATTATATATATATATATATATATATATATATATATATATATATATATATATATATATATATATATATATATATATATATATATATATATAGTTGTTTAAAAAATAGTAAAGAAAAATAATTACATTTGATAGATATTTATGTGATCATTATTTTTTAATCGTGCAAAGGGCTATAGCTCTAACTTATGTTTCTTCTCTATTGTACTTCTACACTCTCTGTCATCAGATTATACCGTTTCATGGCTGAGCCGCTTGCGTATATCACAGTAATTAGCACAAGAAATAATGCGTTTTTTAAAGTTATTCTTATAAAATTTCATTTTGAACCAGTTTTTATGCTGTGCCGACTTTGATAATCAGGACTGCTTCACCAAAAATGAGCGATTTTATGCTAAAATATAAGTATCCATGTCGGATATCTTAAAAATGGTCGCGACCTATACAGTTTTTGTGATTATTATTTTAGGAATGACTCTAATTCTTGGCCAAATTATTCGAGTATAACCTGGTTTGGGTCAGTTTACGCTTTATAATCCGCGAAGCGGATTATATAACAGCGTAAACTGACCCAAACCAGGTTATACTCGAATAATTTGGCCAAGAATTAGAGTCATTCCTTATAATTTAATTCTAAAATCATTAAACAACTGTGGGTGTAAAATTTCGTTGCTTTTTATTAGTTCAAATTTGCCGCTCAATAATACAACCGTAGTAACGGAAGTGAAGGGAAGCAAGGGGAGGTAAAAACTGATACATAGTCCTAGCAGCCATGTTTTTTGTTTACATGTGGTAAGATCCGAGTTACCGTTTGAAGCTAAAGGTACATTTATTAAATCTGGAATTTTCCATGAATCCCGAAGACTGGGAATGAGAGGATTGCATGGATACAGACGATTCAGCTGGTTATCAGGGGGGGGGGGGGGTGTCCCCATACCAAACCAGGTTATACAGAAATAATTTGTGTTCCTTTTTGGATATTAACCAATCAGAGGCTAGAATACAAACAAAATTAAATTATTTAAATATAAAACTTAATATTAAGTGGGAAATAACGCAGTTTTTTTTTAACTTTGAACCTATACAAGGTGTTAGATGAAACATGCTACGTACATGTACTCACGACAGAGTGCGGAAAACTCAGTATTACCGCCTTCTGAGACTTAAAATAAGAGTGTCAGTGTCACTTTAATCTTTATTTAATCTGAATTAAACTCACTTAATAGAAGAATTTGTGTGGACTGCTATTACTCATTTTTGAAATGTACATGTGAGAAACTTTGTATTTTTAACAGTGATGAACCCCCGTACAATAACACGTGGATTTCTATTTACATGTTGCGAAATTTATCATTGTAATTAATCAAATATAAGGGAAAAAAGACGATTGAAACAATAGTTTTATAAATTGTATTTATATAGACCGTCATATCAATGTTTACTGTTTTGAATCCTAATCCTAAATCTAATACATCATACAGGGGTTCGAAACAATCTATTTTTAACTCCAAGGACGAATTGACCGGTCTTCTTCTGTAATCCGAGGCAGCAGCATGTCAGTGAATTTGAGCTCCGTGTTAATTTCTGACGAGATTGACCAGAAATGCGTCGATGTACTTCAGGAAAATGGAATTAAAGTGCTGAAAAATACTAAACTCTCGAAGGAGGAGTTGCTTAAAGAAATTCCAGTAAGTATCCCTAAATATTGTGGGAAAATGCGATTCAGGGGGAGACAACTCCAGAAATGACTTCACTTTTAGAATATATACCTGAGTTTATTAATCAATAAAAAAAATTTGTCATGTAAATAGGTAATACACAGATGTTGCCCTTGATTACGAGATTAATAATTTAAAGTAAATTATTATGAAACTTGTTTGATGTAAACTTGATGAATTTTAAAAATCACCAACCAGCTGTTGCCATCAAGACATTTAGCTGAAGAAAAGAATTTAGGATTTCCCCGTATGAAAGTAAAAAAAAATTCTTTTCTTTGGGGGAGCTTATTGAGATTTTCTTTTTTTCACTGAATTATTGTAGATGGCTAGCGGTGCAATTATGTAGCCAAATATGTTCATAGTTATATCTAATAGAAGTACCCTCTACAAGAAGTTAATGCTATATAACTGTTTTTACAGAATCATGGCGGACTGATTGTTCGTTCAGCTACCAAGGTCACTGCTGATGTCATAGCGGCTGGGAAAAGGCTGAAGATCATTGGGCGTGCCGGCACAGGGGTGGATAACATCGACTGTGATGAGGCCACCAAAAGGGGAATCATTGTCATGAAGTAAGAAGATGGTGAAAAACCTGAGATTTTTAGAGGGGGTGGGTTGGGGTTGGGGGTTGGGATATACTTGTGAAAGTACCTGTACAGTGACTTAGTTCTACCCATTGAGGATGATTCTGGTTCCAACAATGTCATTGCAGTCTTTTCCTCAACAGTTGAATTGCAGGGCTTTCAAAAAGATTAGAAACAGGTGGTACTACTTTAACAATAGTAGGAGGTGCCATGTGGAAGCGAATTTAATTAATGATGTTATTGATTTTCTTTCTCAATCAAATATGTTGGCTGGTACAATCATGATTTCAGCTGGGTAAAATACAAGATACTGGCAGGTTTTGAAAGGCCTGTGACTTGGGAATTTCGAGTCTCAAAATTGGGGAAAACTAATGTTTTTTGGCATTGAGAATTTTACCAGTTATCTGTACCAGTTATATAGGAGTTAAAAACACTGCTATATTTCCTTGTTTTTATTAAATTATATTTGCATGATCAAATTCAGTTTCAGTAGAAATAAAAATTTAAGCATCTGACTTCACTGTCAACTCAGACTTTCACCAGATCTGACCATTGCACATAAAACACCTTAATATCTCTAATTAAAATCAATATTTTTTTCAAATCTTCTCACCTGTTGCCATTTTTAATCCATTTATTGAAAATTTTTATAAAAGTTTACATTTTTCTATTTGATTTTATTGATAAACAAAGGGATGAATTGCCTGCCTGATCTAAAAACAAAATTCTTGGCCTCTGAATGCATTCTGTCAGTTGAACTGCTGAAATGGCATTTTCTTACAGTAATGTTACCTGAACAGTGCTTCTGAGAATACAAATTTTTCCTGTGGTTTTTAAATGAATAACAATTTGTTTCCGAATGTTGGCATGTTTGTTAAAATTTTTTGATGGTAAAAATGATGTTGACAGTGCATGTAACCAGTGCAATGACATAATATTGAAGCCTTAATTTTTTTTATGTGTGGTTGTCTGTATTAGTCAGACTTCATTTAAAGTAATTAATATCTGATATTGTGGAATTGTTCTAGGAAAAACTGCTTGATTTATCTTATTAAAATTTATTCATTTATTTATTGACTTATTTATTTATTTTCAGCACACCTGGAGGAAATACTCTAAGTGCAGCAGAACTAACATGTACACTCATCTGCTGTGTAGCCAGGTAAGAACTCACCTGTAGGACAGCAGACAGGTAAAAGAAGAGTGTTCCACTGTAATATATGAATGCCAAGTAAAAGTTCATTTCTTGTTAATTTATTGGGTCTCAGAAGACAAATTGTTATAGTTGTCACACTTATATTTCAGGGTTCAAAATTAGCTCATGTCCTTAAGCCAGAGACTAGTAAAAAATATGTCAGACTTTTATACTAAACTTTATAAAGCACTAGTCCATATGGACTAGTGAAAATTCGGCTATAAATCCTGAATTGCGTTTGATCTTAGTGCTAATTTTTTCCCAAAGTTTTTTTTTTTTTTTTTGAATTAAACTAAAAGATACTTGCATGTTAGTGCATTTCGAGGATCAACCTAGGGAAGTCAGGGGCGAAATATTAAAACACGCCCAGATTTTCTTTGGAGAGAAGGGGGAGTTTTAGTCACATCTCTAAATCATATTAAATTAACTGCACGAGGGGGGGGGGGGGGGGTTATCTAGATATTTCCCACATTTTAAAGTTGTTTTCACAGCAGCTGTTATCCACAGAGGATCAACCTTCTTGTTTCTTGTTATAAAATAATTACTGAACTGTACTCATGAAACTGATAAATTATGTTCCAAAAGGGGAAGGGGGGGGGGGGGGGGGTAAGTAACACAGTGGTATCATTTTCATTTGAAAAAAGAGGGTGGAAATCCATAATGGAGGAGTGAAACTTAAATGTCACTAGTCTGTATGGACTAGTGCTTAAAAAAAGTTTTCAAACCCAGCATATGAAAATAATAAGTATGATACATTGAGGTGCAAATGGGGGACATCATTTTGTTTTTCCAGCTTACTAGAATTTGCATGTCAGCAGCAGAATCTTGCTTTTGTTTCCTCCATTCATAAGTTTGTCCACTCCATAGTGTTTGTGTCCCATTTGCTCCTTCCAGAATATTCATATACATGTACATGGTGTAATAGTTAGATCATGCTATATCCATGATAGCTGTAATCAACAGTCTTTGAAAATGAGAATACTTGCCTGGGATGAATTGTTGATATAGTTCATGAGAGCTAGATTATCTATCTAATGAAAAATTGCAAAGCTATCTTTTTCTTTATGAATTATTTCTTGTTCAGAAATATACACAATGGTGATCGAGCTATGAAGGAGAAAAAATGGTCAGAACGGAAGGCCCTGATGGGATGTGAGCTTCATGGAAAGACTCTAGGAATTGTGGGATTGGGTCGTATTGGGAAAGAGGTGGCACTGAGAATGCAGTCATTTGGAATGAAGGTTTGTATTTGGAGTTAACTGTATAGAGATGTTAGGAACAAAAAGAGTTAATCAATTAAGAGATATTGTAAAAGTTAGGGGGTTAGGTCAGTTGTTGATATACTGTCAAACCTTGTTATCTCAATCTCAATTGGACCAAGTTTAAACTCCAAGATATCCAATGATCTGAGATAACAAGGGTAAAAAATAAAAAGGAAAAATGCTTGGGAGCTCACTTTGACATATGCCTGGTATTTGGGATGTTGATGTTCCAGATAATAAAGATCAACTGAACCTGGTGGTTGTATAAAAGTAATGTTTGAGAGGAATAACTTGTGCACAGTATAAGTACAGAAGTCAGTATCATAAAGAAAAATATATTGTTAAAATATTTCTCATATTAATGAAGCAACTGTTATAATACACAGGCTATTAGATCACTTTAATCTTTAATACTGACAGACTAGGGGAATAAAAAAGTAATTTTTTTATACCCCCAGTTTGTCAGTTGGATAAAAGCAATCTAAAGGCCTGTGTTTTAATACAGCTGTAGATTCATGAACAGATTATGATCTAAAATATCAGCACCTGCAAAATTGAAGACTTTATGAATAATTGCTTGAATTCACTCTCTTGATATGGTTCAAAAGAAAACTAAAATTGAAATACATGTATGAAATTTTGATTTGGAAATGTCAAGAATACACACACCAATATTTCAATTTTACCCAGAAATATGCATTTAGTGTTGTTACAAAGCTTTTGATCTAAGATTTTTTTCAGAAATACATATTTCCTCTTCTCTCTTTAGACCATTGGATTTGACCCTATCATTCCTGCAGAAGTCAGTGCAGAGTTTGGAGTGCAGTGGATGCAGCTTGAAGAGTTATGGCCCTTGGTGGATTTCATTACTGTGCACACACCACTTATTCCACAAACAAGAAGTTAGCAACTTGTATTTCAATTACTGGTCTGCTCATTCTGTAATTTTATTTTTTGCTTTCTATTTCAAATTTTCAATCCACTACACTCTTTTTGTATTTTCCCAGTAAATTTAATTGACAGAGACAAGCAATATGAACAGAAAACAATACTACATACAAAGACCGAGTATTGCTTATTAGATGTATTTTTAAGCAATATACAATTGCAGATTGCTTTGTTACAGATGCAAGATGTTCATTTTATTATACTAACAACTAATTTCTTCTTTTGTAGATCTAATTAATGATGAAGTGTTTGCAAAGTGTAAGAAGGGAGTGAAAGTAATAAATGTTGCCCGAGGGGGCATTATAGATGAGGAGGCCCTCCTGAGGGCCCTGGAGTCAGGGCAGTGTGGAGGGGCAGGCCTGGATGTGTACACATCTGTAAGTATCTACTTCTGATCTAAAGTCTGTTTCAAATATGTCAGATAAGATCTAGAAAAGGGAGAAGACCTGAGGAAATTTTTTCTTCTTGATGGACGATAGAACTTGAATGGATGGCATGTCATGAGTGGACTATTCAGTGTAATTGTTATCTGAAAAAAAATATTTAACAAAGTACATGTACTGAGAATCTTTTTAGGAACCTGAACTAGAATGTTTTTGAACTTGCATTTTAGGGATGTGTATTTTAAATTTATGAAGTTCTTATAATATTTTAAAAATACTTAACCATGAGAAAATATACATTAGCAGATTGAACTAACTGTCTGATATGTTTCTTTTCATCATTTTAATTCATGCATTAATAGGACATCTTTCTTTCCAGGAACCACCTAAAGATTTTACGTTAGCCCAACACCCTAAGGTGGTTGCCACACCCCATTTGGGGGCCAGCACTTCAGAGGCTCAAAAGAGGGTAGCCATTGAAATAGCATTGCAATTTGTAGATCTTGTCAAAGGGAAACAACTCTTTGGTGCAGTAAGTTTCAGCTCTAGAGATCTCTCATACTTCACCAAAAGTTTTAATATAAAATTCCTATTGGAGAGAGAAAAAATATACATTGATATATAAAGAAATGTGATTTATGCTAAGTTATAAATGAGAAGAATTAAGTGCTGATTGTGATGGTGTCACTGAAATAACCTGCATTTGTGGGGTTTCTGTTAATGAGAAGGGTAATTACAGCACTAGAGACATAACTGATAATTATTCACATTCACAATACTGTTATGTCTTGTGTATATTGGAGGAAATTTGAAAGTCAATACATGAAAAGATATTTCTGTCATAACAGTTTTTTTTCTTAATATGTAGATCAATGCAAATGCCATGACCAATGCTTTGTCTGAGGAGTCTAGAGCATGGGTGACCTTAGGTCAGAGGCTAGGTGAACTGGCAGGGTGTGTCGGGGGTCAAGCCACAGGAAATATCAAGGTCACAGCATTAGGTATGAACACTTAAATATACAGCTGAACTTTGTTATCTTGAACACTGATATCTCAATACCAGGGTTATGCTGAAGTGCATTGACAGTCTCAATAACTTTTTCTTGATGGTTTTTACCATAATTATTATTCTCGGGTATCTCAAAGTTTAATCTTGATCCCATCAAGTTAGAGATAATGAGGTTTGACTGTACATGTTTAGTACATGTAAAATTGAAGTAAAAAAAAGTCATTTCAGTAATTGTCTTTGTTTCTGAGATATCAATGTACTTGTAAATACCGTATATACTTGTAAATACCGTATATACTTGTAAATACCGTATATACTTGTAAATACCGTATATACTTGTAAATACCGTATATACTTGTAAATACCGTATATACTTGCCTATAAGTCAATTTTTTTGGGAGTCAAATTTTGGTCCAGAACTCTATGTCCAACTTATAGGCGAGTCATAAAAAATTAGTACTTTTCTGGATGGCGAAATGTAGTATTTTATAAAAATTTCCCATGATTATCGTTGAACAAAGTCTGGATATATTATATCATTTATGTATTCTAAAATTGTATGTAAAGTACAAGTATTTACATATTATAATAACTTTTTTTTATCTTAAGTGTGCATTATGTATTTTTCTTAAGGATTTAAAATTAAATATCGGCGTCATTTCTAAAAATATTAATCGAATCCAGGTTAAATCATCAGAGCATTGATTTGAAATTGTAAACTGATTCTGAAAAAAAGTTGTACCGACTTATAAGCGGGTCAATGGCAAATCCTTCCCAAATAAACTCAAAAAATACAACCAACTTATAGGCAAGTATATACGGTAGTGCAGAGTGAATTGGTGAAAACACCAAAATATCCTGATACATGCATGTACATGTATTAATGTTGCAAACTCAGTGCAGATGTATCATTTTCCTTAACTCTGTGCAAAAAATTTCAAAGATCAGTGTATCATTATGAAGAAAATTCCTAAATTCATCTCTGTGTCCAAACTAATGGATTTATTTTTCTTCCACAGGTTCTTCTTTAAAACAAGCTGGCTCCTACCTTGGTGCAGCTGTACTAGCAGGGTATCTGACAACAAAACAAAAACCCGGTGGTGATGGTGTGACATTAAATTTGATCAACGCTCCAGCAATGGCCAAAGAACAAAATTTACAAGTACAGAAGAGTTTCTATATTCTCTGCTTTGTCAATTTTAGTCAACAATTTTGGCTTCTTTGCTTTGGTTTTTTCATCAAGAAATACATGTACCAATCTTACTCTGAACCGCTATTTAAAAATAGGTAGTTTATAAGAGAAAATGGATTACTAAATTTCAATTTATAATATTACTAAGTTGAACATGATTATTTGAAGCTCTATTCTGTTAACGTTGTGTGGTATAATCAGTCTCATTAGAAACAGTTTGTGTGACTCCATGTCCTCAGATATTTAGCACTAAGCACTAATTATGTATTATCCCAAATGGTAACCCAAAATGTAAGGTTAAAAACTTTTAATGGAAGTTATCTGATGCCAATTTGAAATTTTAAATCTTATAAGTACCCGTAATTAACTCGGGGCTTTGAATCCTTCATAGGTAGCTAAAAATTGAACACACCTGTAATGTTCAAGCAATAAGACCACTTCTCATTTCTCAGGTGGAATTTTTACAAGCTGACCAATGTCCTGGAACATACTCAGCCATGGTGATCATTGGACTTAGCGACGGTTTCCAGGCATCAGGGACAACTTGTAATGGAGGGGCTGTTCTGTTGTCTGTACAGGGGCAGGTATTCCCCACACCAGCGTCACTCTCAGGGACCGCTATTGTATTCTCTGCAGCAGAAAGCACCCAACTGCTGACAGCTATTTCAGGTGTTTATAAATTACTGTACGTGCTTTTTCTGTGGAAAGCAGTAGGGAAAATAGTGTCCAACTGTCTGTATGTTAAAGCTCTCTCTTTGGAGAGCCTATTGTCAGTCTGTATGTCTGAGCTCTCTTTTGAAAGCATATATTGATGAACCAGACTGTCACTCTGTATATCTCAGCTCTGTGTGTGTGGACACCTTTTCTGTGGACGTCTTTTGTGATTCTATCTATTAAAAACTGTAAACCAACATTTAATCGTATGCAAGAAATATTTGCGACTTCTTTTACTCACTAATATTTCTTGTATCAAACTGTTTAATGTCATTGTGTATTTATGTAGAATAATTCCTCAGTGACATCGCAAATGGATTTTAAAATGACAAATTGCGAATAAAAATTGTCGCAAACAGTAGTTGGTTTTACAGTAATCGATCAGTCTGTATGTCCAACTGTGTACATGAAGCTTTCTGTCTAGATCTGGCTGTTGAAAATTAGTTTTCAATAATATTTATTCTCTCCCTTTGGCTACAATTCAATTAGAGTGTGCATGTCTTCTAATATAAAGGACAAGCAATGACCTAAATGGGGTCAAATTAAAATTGGACTGTGGTGTGAATTCCTTGTCTCCTTCATCATATTTTACTCTTGGTCTTATCACCTGCATTTCTTTTTACCTATTGAGAGCATTCTATTCATTCTGAACTTTAAATAAAAATACTTTGTTACATTTCAGGAGCTGTTGTTGGAGAGAGTGTTTCCGGTGTAACCCTATCTTCTGGGGGAGCTGGAGACAGATGGGGAGTGGTCTCATTTCTAGCCCCTCCCTCTCAGAAAAGTATAGAGAACCTCAAAAGTGTGGTCAAAGCAATGAGTGTAGTCACATTTCAATGAACAACATTTTTTCTAGAAAAAAAATTTTCATTCCACAAATCTCTAGAACTACGCAAGTGATAAACCATTCATATATTTCTTAGTTATTGTTAAAGCATAGGGACCATTTTGTTACAAAATAAACATCTAGAGTCAAACATGTCAAAGGTTTTGGGATCAAAATGACATTCTTGTTAACCTTATTTTATTTTTACAGCATTTCTGTTATTGTTTTTTTTTTTTTTTGGAAACGTGCAAAGAAAATCAGGTTTGAGAATAAATTGAGGACAAAAATTGAGTTTTTAGTTTTGAATTGATTTTTTTAAAATCCTTTCTCTATTTTGTATGCCTCTGGATTTTTCTCCTCTTTCATATGGGTGAATTCAAAAAAATGACCAAACGAATATTTATCAACCCACACTAAAAATACAGGCAATGAAAATAGATTTCTATGTCTCAGCATATGTCTTTAGATAGTGTCTAAATACCTGCCAAATATCTCGTTGATATCTCAATTAACAAAAAAGTTATGCCCAAAAATGATGCTAAAATTGTCAGGAGTGCAACACCTTTTTGTGACATTTTGAAATTTCAATATTTTTTGGAGATCTGTGAAATAAAAAATAATGCTTCATGTTGAAAATAAAGACTTTCCTGATAATATTCAAAGTATTGAGCTTTAAATGTGGACTGTCATAACTTTTGTTTAATCAGGTTGTGGTCATGGCTGATGTTTAAAAAAATGTTATACCATGTCAGGAGTGCAACAGAAAAAATGTAGTGTTGCCAAAAAAAACATCAATTGTAAAATTCTGATAGAAAATTAAGACAAAAAGGAATTTTGGAAGTGTAAAATAATAACTGATATACATTTTAAAACTTTAAAAAGTTATATAAATCACAAGCAGCATGAATGAGAGTCAAGTATATGTGCATACCCAAAAATGTCAGGAGTACAACATTTGATGTTTTGCTCCCAAGCATGAAAAAACTATTACATGTATCATTATATGATTTTCTGATTTTTATTTTGGAAAATAAAGACACAAATAACATTTTTACCAAATAGATTTATCAATTACAGGATCTGTCTATGCTTCAGATCCATATTTCTATGGTCAGGAGTGCAACACATTTTTTTAAAGATTCAAGTTGTGTGACAAAAAGACTTCTATTCATGCTTAGAAGTATTCATTAATTAATAATGATCTTTTTGTATAATTTAATGCTAAATTATTGACAGTTTTATTATTAAAATCCTTCTTTTTTCAATTTTATCAATTCAGATGTGATTTTATCTTTTTTGTGATTTTTTTAATGAGCGTTAAAAATAAACACACTAAAACATTGTCATAAAATTCGAGTAATTCCTCCTCAACTTCACTGAAACAACAGAACAAGTTCTTATGTAATTTTCACTTCACAATTCTACTTTAAAGGCCCCAATGCTTTTGGTCAGGAGTGCAACAAATATGTTAGAATTATAAATCATCCAATAAGAATAAAAATAAAGAAAAAATGATGAGTAGAATTTTTCTGGTGGGTTACTGTGTTTGTCTTCTAAAGGAAAATATGCTTTAAAATATATTTTATCTTCTAAATATACATTTAAGCTAGTTTTTTGGCATAAAATAGGGTATAATTCCAGATAAAATGCGAATTTTAAATACTTTCATCTGTTTAAATTATGAAGTATTGGACTATAAGTATTGCACAATTTCATTACCACCTGATGTTGCCAACACTTTATGAATTTTTGTGTTCTATGGTTTTAATTTTCAACTTTACTGCAGTCAGGAGTGCAACAAAACTGCTTCATAATTACTGATGCTTTTTAACTATCTTTACTAAAAATTAAGTTGAAAAAAATGCTTGATACTATTTGATGTTCAAAACACTATGTCTATCAACAAATTACAGAAATTTTACAGTCAATTCAGGGAATAGTTTTCATCATTTCACATATATTTTAAATACAATTTATATATATTACACTTTGCAAATAATCAACTTTAAGGTCTTCAAAATATGAAAGACCTGCTGTAAACGATGAAAAATATCAACACGACAAATTGATTTACAAAGTAAGAATGGGTTATTGTGTGTTATAATTTTTAAAACAATGTTAAATAAAATATATGTCAGATGTCAGGAGTACAACACAATAATGTAACATAAGGTCACTTCAAAATCTAGTATTTTTCACAAGAGAACTCGTATATAACAATTTTTTTTTTTTGGTTTAGATTTAAAGAATTGACTTGAACGGACAAAAAAGTGAATTTTGGGGAATTTTATTACTTCATATTTTTTTCATATTAAAACTTTTCAAACCAGAATTGAAAAAATAATGTAAAATAACAATCAAAAAGCCAATTTTTTGTCACATGTTCAAGAGAAGATACTCATTCAAGGTCTAGATTTAATCATTTATACCCCTTTTACCATTTTGAAGCATAAAAAACTATAATTTCTTGTGATTATGTATTTTAGAAAGTCTTTTAAGGTGTAATGAATTTTCTTTTTTCAAAAGAAATTTTACTAATAAAAATTCTGAAACTTTTTAATCCAATTGTCTATTCTATTGCCACTTCAGGATTTTAAACTAGAATGCATTTGCAATATGATGATATAAGCGAAAAATATGTTATAAGTAGTTGAATTTTGCCAAAAAAATTCAGTGTGGTGGTCATTTTTTTTTTAATTCACCCATATACTTAAATATAAGGTTAATCATATGGATATTATTGTGGTAATTATGACTTCTTTTAATCCTTTTTTTTTTTTTTTTTTTTTTTTTTTTTTTTTAATTTTTTTGTTGATTAAAATTGTCAAAATAAAATTTTTAATCCAAGAAGGATTCCCCCTAGTGTTATTTGAAGAGCTGTGTGTGCCCACTAAAATTTTGACAGAGTAGTTGAAGGACAGAGATGTCAGAAGGCAATGCTGTGGACACTAGAATTAGGACACTGGAATTGGAATTTTCATAATAATGTATATGTACATATTGAAGTGTATATTAAAAAAAATAGGTGCTGTGTACAATTTCACATTCCATATCCATAGACAAGTGAACTACGTGTATGCTACAACTGTTTTATTCTCAGAGAAAAGCTGTTCAACAAATTTACACTATATGGAGTATGTTGGCTAATTAGTGCAAAATATCTGAATCCTTTTTTATGCACATCAGCTCTTAAGGATGCCCATCCCTCATCCAGGAACAATAACTATTGATATTATCATTTTCTAGTATTTTAATAAATCTAATAATGAAGAAAAATATCATTCAACAAAATTTTAATTTCACGCTTTTTAATACATGTATCTATGGTATATGGTAGTTTGAAGTGGTCTTGAAAATAAATAATGTACATGTATACATGTATGTTCCCAATGAAAGGACCAAAAAGAAATTGCCCAAAATTCAATTTTCCTTAAAACGTTCCCCTGTTTAATCAATTTTCAACTAGATTTTTATCGAAACTTAAACTTGCTGCAGAATCAAATGATTGGTTGAGAAGTACATGTACATGTAAGCATAAACATGTATATAATTGAGATCATCAGAAAGGTCGTGTCCGAGTCATTTACAATACGGATGTCCTATTGTATAAACTGGTTGTTTGGAAGTTCACTGAAAACTGTTGTCCATCTGCAAAAGTGTAACAGCGCGTTAGTAACAACGCGCCAGGGTAAATTGACAACATTCTAGCGCGTTGTTACTAACGAGCTGGCACGTTGTCACTTACAAAATTAGTAACAAAACGCTGGCGTGTTGTTCACAACACTGTCGCACTAATACACGTGTATGTCTAGCTGATTGTCTGTCTGTCTGTCTGTCTGTCTACCCATTCAACTATTCTGTAAACTTTTTACATCTTTGACATCTTCTCAAGATCTACTGCATGGGAAAATTTTGTCCAAAGCATCCTTGGGTTAAGGGGATTCTAAATTATTCAAATCAAGGACCAAGCCCCTTCCACGGGGAGATAAGCAAGAAAAGGCAGAAGTAGGATAAGGTCAGTAAAAAATTTTTTCTCAAGAACCAATTGGCCAGAAATCGTGAAACTTATGTGAAACCTTTTAAAGGTGATGTAGTTTTTAGCTCACCTGAGCCAAAGGCTCAAGTGAGCTTTTCTGATCACAATTTGTCCTTTGTCTGTCGTTGTTGTTGTCGTAAACTTTTCACATTTTCATCTTCTTCTCCAGAACTACTGGGCCAATTTCAATCAAACTTGGCACAAAGTATCCTTTGTTGAAGGGGATTCAACTTTGTTCAAATGAAGGGCCACGCCCTCCCCCAAGGGGAGATAATTACGAAATAGCAAAAAATTAATGGAATTATTGAAAAATCTTCTTCTCAAGAACCAATGGGCCAGGAAAAATGAAACTCATGTGGAATTATTGTCAGGTAGTGTAGATTCAAGTTTGTTCAAATCATGACCCCCAGGGCTAGGGTGGGGCCACAATGGACGATTAAGGTTTAACATAGGAGTATATAGGAAAAATCTTCTCAAGAACAGCAAAGCCATGATTGGTCAAATTTATATTGAAGCATCTGCCGGTGGTGTAGATTCAAATTTATTCAGATCATGACCCCTGGGGGTAGGGTGGGGCCACAATTTATGATCAAAGTTTTCATAGAGTATATAGGAAAAATCTTCAAAAATCTTCTTCTCAAGAACAGTAAAGCTTTGATTGGTCATATTTATTTGGTAGCATCCTCAGGTGGTGTAGTTTCACGTTTGTTCAAATCATGACCCCTTGGGGTAGGATGGGGCAACAATGGACGGTCAAAGTTTTACATAGGATTATGTAGGAAAAATCTTTCAAAATCTTCTCCTCAAGAACAGCAAAGCTATGATAGGTCATATTTAAATGGAAGTATCCTCAGGTGGTGTAGATTCAAGTTTGTTCAAATCACGACCCCCAGGGGTTGGATGGGGCCAAAATGGACGTTCAAAGTTTAACATAGGAGTATATAGGAAAAATCGTCAAAAATCTTTTTCTCAAGAACAGCAAACTATGATTGGTCATATTTATGTGGAAGCATCCTCAGGTAGTGTAGATTCAAGTTTGTTCAAATCATGACCCCGGGGTAGGGTGAGGCCACAATGGACAATCAAAGTTTTACATAGGAATATATAGAAAAAATCTTTAAAAATCTTCTCAAGAACAGCAAAGCCACTGATGTCATGTTTATATGGAAGCATCCTCAGATAGTTTAGATTCAAGTTTGTTCAAATCATGACCTCCAGGGGTAGGGTGGGGCCACAATGAAAGTTAAAACTTGTA